AAAAAAAAAAAAAAACGGTTCAGAGGATCACAGAAAAATCCTGCACAGAGCAGTTATAGAGTTTTTCGTTCTCTTTCTGGAAGTGCCTTCAAAAAAACTTCAGAACTCAATTCACTGAAGTATTTTGGGGGCCCTGTTCAAGAATTGGGTTCAAAAAACTTCCCAAATAAAAGGTGCACAGAGTCAAGCAGTGTCTATCATATTTTTGATTTCAAACCCAGAATTTTGGAATTAAGAATTTGTAAAAAAAAAAGTTGAAAGAAAGAAAAATCAGAAGAAAAACCGAATATCATATTCAGATCGAGATTTGAGAATTTATGTGTAGAATCTTTACTTATATCTGTGAAATCTTAATCGTTTTCCAGTAATATTATAATTAATTATACAAGTCATGTAATCAAGTGAAAGAAACGTAAGAGATTTAGGCTTTCGTTGGGCGCATGGATCTTAGGTGGCAGAGGATCGCTCGAGTAAGAACCGATCGGGGATCTCATCCCCGCACCCATCCTGTGATAGTGGCCACTTGCACCACACCACCTTCCCCCCATCCCGTACGTGATAGATGATTACATAACCTTGAGTTTTGCAGTTCGTGAAATGCATCACTGATCAATATTAATTGATCGGTAATCGCTTATTGTGATCAGCATGGGTGAAATGGGATCCAGCTGACGTATCTGTCAACCATGAGGATTACATGGGGCGAAGGGGTAGCCAGGAAGGGGTCTTTTGTCCCGGTTAAGTTGTCTCGACAGAGAGTTCATCCGCCCAGGAATCCACCAGAGCTGCTATTTTCGGATGCTCATCGCCAGCTCAGCAGTGTTTGTGCGGTAAACGTCCGTCGGCCAACGCCCTGTCACTGTTCATCTGAGATTTCCTCACCTGACACCTCAACTTCAGTCTTCTTCATCACTTCGTCTCGTACCTTCGTTGCTTGGAGCTTGTCCTTTACTTCCTCTACTTTCCCAGTTATTATCAAGTACGACACAGCAAAGAAACTGCTTTTTAGACAAACTTTGTTAATCTTTTTAATCTAATCAAACCCTACCGAAAACTTTTCCGATTACTTTTAAACACTGTTTGGAGTCCGCCTAAATCAAAATTTTTGTAGTTCTGTGAACAGCTGAGCGCTGAGCCCACCCATACAAAGCAAAATTTTTGATTTGAGCCACATATACACAGTGATTGGAAGGGGGAGAGCGTATGTGCGCATTTGTTGAGGACTATTGCTTGATGTTCGCAATTCGTTTCTCTTATGTTCTTATGTTTACTTTTCATTGTTTAGAGTATTATTTTGCGTTTTCGTGTTGCATTTCTTTTTTGCGGGTTCCCAACTCCAACGGGGTGATGTAGCGTCAAATGGCACACAATCACTCGCATGGTTCCGAGATTGATCTCGGATTGTTGACCATGCTGGCTATCCAAGTCCATCCCATAGAGATCGGTGAATTAGTGTCAAACCCTCTGGAGGATAAAACACTGACTTTTACATCTTCTGGTCACACAATTCCCTGTAAAGGCGGAGCTCGCATTCAAAAACACCATCACGATCCTGAACAGGAAGGAAATGCAGGGCGTATTTTTGAAACGGCATCAAACAACCGTGGAAGAATTGATCCTACATCGTTCAACTTTTACAATTCCTACTAAAGCAAATTTTCTCTTAGGTAAATTATTAGAAGTAATCGTGAGAAAATCTTCCATGATTTGGGATATACAAGATTTTCCAACAAAGTTGGAATTTCTGCAAAAGCTCTCATTGCAGTGAGCCATTCCGCGAAGGAAAAGAAAACAATTTCACGAGAAATACTGCCCAAATTCGGCTGGGGATTTATCCCCGAGCTGATAGGGTCCATCACTTCGTCATCTATCCACACGTCAAGTGTTTCCGTTAAGTGCGAAGCGCCTCTTGAAATCCAACGGTCATTGACATTTTATCAGAGGCTCAAGTGCTCACTTGATAGCTCACGTCGCTCACGACAGTGTCAACTTTTTCTGGGCACCACCACCTGTCCCCAACTGGGAATCCTCTGTGAGCATTCCAACAAAATCACTTTCTCAAACATTGTAAAACGTAATATTAAGGAAATTGGTCTTGTCCCTAAACTCCTCGAATTTTTGCCCCCAAGTTGCGACCTCCCGTTCCCAGACTTCAAAAAACCCGTGAGCACGTTGGCTAACGATGACGTAACAGCTCAGATTCAATTTCCTTCTATTTCTACCGAGTCATACAGCCTTGATCATATCCTGTGCCCCTTTTGTTGACTTCGTTTCGCAGTTTGACTTCACTTAGGGAAGACTGCTTACTTTCCCATGAATTCTTCATAGCTTGGCTCTCTTTACCATATCAAAACTACCTACAGTAATAGTCTAGATTGAAATCACCGAAACCACTGTGTTGCTTCTCTTCCTTGAGGTCTGCTTCCAGGAACGACCATCTGATCGCGGAGGAAGACCGATCAGAGATCGTGTGACCGACTCACAGCAAGTATGCTGGTTCTAGCCATCTCTTCCATTCTTGCTGCTGTCTCGGGTGAGTTTTGTAGCCCATACTGATAAAACTTGGTCATTTTCAGCAAATATCCGAGTGGTTTTACGTTTAGGCGGAGAATCGGCTGTCAAGTACTGAACCTATAAGAAATGAACCTTTCAGTATGTAGCTAGAGGCTCTCCCATAGCTTGCAAACCTTTTAGCTCGGAATAAAAAGAAATGTTAAGGCAAAAGCTAGGTATTTTTTTGTTTTCAGGTTCCCCGTCAAGCAGATGGTGTACTGTGGGTGATTTCTGTGACAACTGTACGATTCAAACGGCTATCAGTGCAAATTGTAACGGCACTAGCGATGCGAAAAGACATTTGTTCCTGTTCTGTAACCCAAGGACAAAGTAGGCTACCTATTCACCTTTTTTTCAGGAAAAATCGAAAATTTTGTTCTTAGTGCCTATATATTGCATGTATATGGTCAAGGCCAAGAATTGATGTCTAATCCTGCAATTAATTTTGGAAATAATCTAATCGTTCGTAAAAAGTTTCGAAAATTTTTGTAACTCTGTATGGGTTTTGCAAGTTTTCCGGAGAACTACTTACACCGCCTAACCAAGGGAGGCAGAAGATGACAGCAAATGACAAAGCGGGACAAAAAGCAAAGTGAACGACTGAAGTAACTAGGTGGCACACAAGAATTGATTGTTTGTATTCATTTTGAACTGAGTTTACTTATTTACTTTTTGCACATAAACAGCACGGTGCCCGGGAATTCAACTATGGGTTTCAGTCCTATCTGACATCTGGGTTGTGAGACCGACGATTTGCCCATATCTTACAATCCTTATGAAATTGACTTGTTTATTCATTTATCTTTCTACTTATTTATTTATTTACCTACTTGTAATTACTTCATGAATTCATTTTTTGTGGATCACACAGAATCTTTTTTGACGAGTTGCTCATATACCGGGTAACGGAGCTGATGGTTGCCTTCAGGTTGATCGATGTGGACTCTTCGTCGTACCTAACCTGTACCGAAGGGGTGTATCGACAGAACAGGTGCTCCGACAATGGACGGACCCACTTCAGCGCGACCGCCATGGAGTGTACCGACCCGGCGACGATGACTTTTCACGCCCAGGGCACTTCAGGCAAGCGTTTTGAGACACATCGAAAAAAGCTGGGTAATGAGGATTACAATCCGGAAGGTCCGAAAACGGATAAAATTTGCAAAATCCTTCGGTTCCATCTGATAGCAAAGAAAAATTTAAGGTTCCGGTCGAGTTGGTGATGTTTGCTCGTTCAACACGGATTGCCTTAGCGGGATGTACTGTGCAATAGGACAATGTCGATGCTTGTCAACGTATATCGCTGTCGATGCTTACTGCTATGAACGTAAGCCATTGTCATGAGGCGTTTATAGTCCCTGATTTCCAAAGCCAAATAACTAGTCCCTAAATTCAGGCATATCACCATCAGAATCCGGTTGCTTCTATGATGTCCAATGTTCTGCGGTATGGCCGGATGCCTACTGTAAGAATGGGCAATGTCACTGTCCCAGTCTGGATATGGTTGCTGTCAAAACAAGGTGCGGGAATCGGAACAGAACAGAGTGTTGCTTCCGAAGAAGAGCCACAGATGATTTTCTTCTTTCAATGGATTACTTTTGAGGGATGGCACGCTGTGCATATGGTCGAGCTCAACAGAACCGTCCTGTCCATTGCCGTCACTTCCACCACCAGATTCTGCTGCAGCACTTGTTGTCCTGCCAGCTCCTTCAGGTGATTGTAACATCAGTTTCTCTTTCCTCGAACGGCTCAGTTATAACCAGAGATGTTAGAGAAGCAGAATGTATTGCGGATAATATAAGAAGTGCATTTTCCAGCGAAGAACTCCGTGAGCATAGCGACATGCAATCCTCGAGCGTCTGCCATTCCTTCAACGGAGGAGATACTTCTGTCTAATGCACATGATTACAAATGTGCTGTACGAGGAACGGTAAGAATTGCAAACGGCTTGTTTTCTGGTAGTCGGGAGAAGTCCAGGAAACGAGAGATAAACCCTGCATCTGTGACAAGTCGAATCACCCTTGACTAGTAGAAAGTCTTCTAGATAGAAGATTCTGCTCCGAAAGACGTTTCTGATCTCTACGACTGTATCGATAATAGTAAATTCTGGCAAGGACAAGGCCTGAATACCAATTTGCATCCGATTGGCGTTTGCTGCATGAATAGAGGTAGGTACCGCCAGCCAATTCATATGCTATAACAGCAATTGAGCGTGTGGATGCGTAACGAGCCTATCTGCTTCGCATGCGCACGCTTTTGTATCTCATTTTGCGGTTCATTATGGCCACTAACTTCTCTTGAAACGTGCGATGTGGTTCTCAATACCCTTCCATAAAAACTTTTTTCCCTAAAATGTTTTGCATTCAGCATTCACCTGCCAACAACCAAAGAAAGGCGAGTCAGATGAGTTGGGTGCAGTACCTCGATGGTGGTTCAATGGCATCATCGGTTCCTGCCAACAATTCCTCTTCGATCCGACTTCATCTGAAGTCAGTCCGAACAATTTCGAGACACTGGATCATTGCGAAAGCTTCTGCAAAGACAGTGAGTCGCCTTCCTCAGTTTTTTTTTCGCACTTTAGGATATAGGGAGACGTGACAGATGCTAAAGGAATCTAAGACTAACATTATTCATCATAAGGTTAGGAAGTTCCGAGTAAGTTTCGGCCCCAATGTGATTCGACTCGCACCCAACTTTCGCAACGTGAAAAAAAAAACAATTTTTACAAGAAACATGAAGTCAAAATATTTCTGATCAATTTCCTCCTTTTGTGATGACACCCGTAGCCCAGATTACTCCAAGTTACGCGAAGGACCCGAATCTTTCTACACTGCGTCTGTGTTTTCCAGTGTCTCTCCAGTGTTTTCTGTGTCTGTGTTTTGTACTTGTTACACTCCACGAGTGTTGTGAAGTTTGAAATTTCAGCTTGCCCACGTGGGAATCCTGCTTACGTACCGATGCGAACTGATCTTGGGCAGATCCCACAGGGCGGTTGCACCATCAGTCATCCTTGTCCAGATCCATACGAATGCGTCGATGTGGCCAGTCAGAGTCTATGCTGCCCAAGCAGAAGTCAGTTACCACTTTAAGATCCGAGTTCGATATTATCGAAAAGGGAGATTCGAAATGGGTCAAATAGTCTGTGTTGTTTAGCCCGTACGAGAAGCAGACACTTTGCTTTTTTCGGAGCCATAATAGTTTGAAAGCGGAATTAGCAGAGGCTAAGTCATAAGGTGGCTAGTGGTATGAGTATGGGTATGGTAGTTTTGTAGGAGCATTTCAATCTTCCAGATAAATCTAGAAATTGATTCCTAGTTTTCTAGAATCGATCTGTAGCGAAATGGGAGGACGTGTGAAGAATCCACTTCGCAACACACCGTACGATGCCGGCATGCGTTTCGATCAATTGACTGGAGAACAAGCGAACTATGCGGTCGGCATTAGCACAAGGTAATGCCCCGGAAAATAGTTGGAACTGTTTTGTAACGGATCCTTCTACACATTCGAATTTTAATTCAGATACTACTACAACCCAATCGATGGTCAATGCCATCCATTCACCTACAATGGTTTCCTGGGAAATTTCAACAACTTCCATACTCAAGCAGACTGCCAGCTGTTCTGTGCACGATGTTAGCGCTTCTGAAGGGAACTTTGCCATTTCGTCCGTCTTCCTTGGGGCCACAGCACTTCTTTTCAGTACAATGCGTACATGGAAATCCATTGACCACTGGACATGGCGTGCCACAACGTTGCCAGCGAGACATCGACTGCCCGTCAACCCATACCTGTACAACTGAACATGGTGTATGCTGTCCGACTCCACGTAAGCGGCTTTCTCCTGTTGCATCGATGCTTTTCCTACCGTATTTTGAATATATGGAGGTTCTAACGATTAGGCAACCATCCACACCATAGCATGGCTAAAAGACTACTGCCGGACCCTTGCGACTTCAAAGATCGGGCCTGTCTTTCATCAGACGCATTCTTTCCTCATTTTAGTCCAGTCTTGAATAGTATGGGCAATCCCGAAGGGATGGGGATTTATTTATGCTTTTTGGGATAGAAAGCACGTGCTCTTGACCACCACTTTCGAGAATGGTCTGAGGGGACATACTAGAAGGTCTTTTATATATAGATCATGTACCGTTTGATCCAGTTATACTTTTCAGAAACTCTATGCACGGAACCACTACGAGTAGGAGACTGTAAGCAGTCCGTAAGGCAGTTCTGGTAAGCAAATCGATTCATATTCATACATATTTAGCTATACATTTCCTATTTTCCGAGGCTGCTCTGCAACAGCTTTTGGCCCGAAAAAAAGGCAATACAGCGGTTTTGATCAAATCGTTTTTCTTATTTCAAGGAAAATTTGGAGCTTCAGGTATAATGCCGAGACTAAAACTTGTGAGGGTTTCCTCTATACTGGCTGTCAAGGCAACAATAACCGCTTCCATACCCTGAACGAATGCCAGAGTTACTGTAAGAATATCAACGGTAAGATCTGCACCGTGCCTTTCAACAGAGTTAAACAGGCTTATCACCCTATTTTCGCAGCCGAGCCCAAATGTCCTCAAGGACGAGCCTATATTGACTATTCGGGAAAATTCCTGCAGTGTGGTGACGGTCTCGGTGGAAATGCCTGTCCAGCGAACTATGAGTGCCATTTCGATGGTCTAATTCATGGATGCTGTCCTAGTAAAGGTAGGGTACCCGTTTACATGGGTTGAAAGGGTTACCATCACTTTTATTCATTTTTTCAGCATTTACTTGTTCACTTCAAGTGAGCAAAGGCGTTGCCTGTGGATCCGGTTCCAGTTATCGCTACTATTACAATAACCAATTGAAGGTGAGTCGATAAGCCTACTATTCCAACTACGATTAGAACGAATGAAAACCTGGGAGAGGCGGTAGCGATAAGATTGTTTGTCAGGAGAGTCTGGAAGTCGTGGAGGGGATGAAGCTGGAAAGAGGAGAGAAATGGAGGAGAGGCAGGGGCAGATGAGGGTAAAGAGTAATGCTTACATCCTATAGTCATACTATACAATGCCTAAGACCACGATATACCGTAATCTCGGGCATAGTGAATGACCATGGTATTTCTCTAAAGTATTCTCTTGGTTGATTGTCAGGATAGCTTGAAATCGTGGAGGGGCTAAGAGGGAAACAGCAAGTGGTGGGGCAGGTGAGGATAAAGGGTAAAGCTCACACGCCTAGGGCCATGCAGTACTGTCCCCGATATTACGGTATACCCAAGAAGACGGTATAGATCACTGTATATACAGCATGACCCTCGCTTAAGATACCACCTAGCTGAATATCGAATCGCTCCACCCTTGAATAAGAGGATACTATAGGGAGATTACCACTGCATTGCAATGTGAGCCCGATTGACCGAAAAAACCATGTCGGGTTCTCGTATTTCCACGATTCCTATAGGTTCCTGACTCATCCCCTAGTCCCTGGGGATCCTATATTGATTCCATTCTTTAAGATCTGAATAGTTCATGAAAATTATTTGCAAATATTATATTTGAGGAATGTCAATCGTTCCTCTTCCTTGGCTGTGACGGTAACTCAAATAACTTTCCCTCAGCAGAGAAATGTCAGAGCTACTGTGAGATAGCAGGTGAGAGTTCCATACTGCCTTCACGTTGCCAAGAAGCAACTTACTTGACTGCGACCTACTCGTTTGTTTAATTCACAGTTGGTGTTCAATTACAGTATGCCCGAACGGGGGTTCGCCGCTAAGATCGAACCAAAAGGTGCGCTCTTGTTCAACGAATGATCCGTGCCCAGCCGGCTACGAGTGTAGTCAAGTAGACACCAATGGGGTCACTCAACGACGATGCTGCCCAACCAAATGTTTGTTTATCAATTCTATTTGCACTATTGCGTCACTTTACAAATACCTCAGAACAAATCCCACCACAGATAAATTAACATGAGCCTTTGATTTATTTTTAATATTATTATTCAGAAAAATTAAACAGTCGAATTATCAAAATAATGTACCCGATACTTCTTGTGAGGTTCTCATTTTAATCGTTTTCAGCATCTATTTGTTCAAAACCACCACAAATGGGTATGCTACCAAAATGCAGCAGTGGAAGTGGTCAGACCAGGTGATCTGGGTGCTTTGGCTTTTCTTTTGTAATCGAAATTTTAAAGTACCCGAATATTTCGGTTTTCTTTTGTTCTATAAAACTTTTTCGAGTGGCACTAGGGTAGTCGTTTCCAAGTTCGAATCAAATAAATGAATAAAACTAATAACGTATTGAATTAGATGGCTACTACAATTACAGGTATTACTTTAATGTGGCACTACAAACTTGCTCCCCCTATACGTCAAATGGTTGCGACACATCGTTGAACTCCTTCAAAACATTGGCCGAGTGTGAAGACTTCTGCCTGAGCGCAGGATGTCAAGCGGGCGACACCGTATACAAAGTTAGTACGCTTTCCTACTGTAGAATTTCTCGTAAACGGAAAAGAAGTGTTACATCTCCGTGACATACGCACACATAGACCTCACTAAATTAATTATTTTGGGAAATACAGATATCTGAGTATCTGCACCGTGATGGCTAATCTTGAAAAATAGCTCGATTTCAGGATCCCAATACGAATCGTCCATTTTTGTGCAATACTGCCCTACATAACAATTGTCCGGCAAACTACGAATGCACACTAAATGCTCTCACACAGGAACACGTCTGTTGTGGATCAGACAGCATGGGTACGTAATTTTGCAGACATTTACACTGACCTGACCAAACAGCTCCGTTTTTGATGTTTGAGGATAACCGCGACTTAAATAGCCGGTTACCATAAGTTCTAACCTTTCAAACACTCAAACACTTTAGGAGTTTGCCCAAATGGCGAAAAAGCGTTTGTGGAGCCGATAACCTTGACGCCCAGACAGTGTGCAATGGTTGCTGATAGAAAATGTCCAGCCGGTTATTTATGCCGATTCTCACAAAACAATCACAAGTATTACTGCTGTGGGAGTATCAGTGGAAGTACGTCTAATTGGGATTTTCTTGGAATCGAGCCACCTTTCTGCAAATGCCAACTGAAAAGATCTTTCCAGGTCTGTGTCCAGCTGGTCGGGCACTGTTTCGCTACCCAACGACACAATTACCGTTGCAGGTACGTTTCAAACCTCTCGCGACTGTTTGTGAGAGCCGCAGCGTTCAAGTACGAATGCGCGCAACGCGCCGCGGCCGCACGCGTGCCACATCTGCAAAGGACAGATGTTTGAAGTTACCCTTTTCGACTTGATTTTTTCTATTACAGTGCCATATTACTCATGGTGGAGGCGGCTGTCCTCCATCGTATGCCTGCCAGAGTGATGTGCCCGGCGCTTTCCAGGGATACTGTTGCAGCCAGCATCGTGAGTGGTAATTAGTTTATTATCATGGTTGGCTGATTCGGTACTTTCAGCGATTTGCCCCGGTGGAGTTAATTACCACCTTGATGAAAAGACCCAAATGCCTACCACTTGCTCCAGTGAAGGTTTCGCTTTTTGTCCGCAGGTTGGTTGTTCCAGAGATGATATCCACAAGTTCTTGAATACTCAATGGTGAAGACTAGAGGAAAGACTATTCTTCGAAACAGGATCAACGATACGCTAGAAAATCACTCCAATGATAATCACATTCAGCCTCAAGGGGAATGAGCTGAGAAGACAGAAAGGGAAGGCTCCACAGTTACTACATATATTTGGGAGTTGATGTATTTCGTCTCTCTTCTTCCCTCTCCCTTCTTTTATGGTCATGGGTACGGGATAATGAGGAAAAGGAAACTTCCCCTTCTTCGTGCCCTTTTCCGCCCCTCTATGTCTAGCCTCCTTCTGTAAGGGACTGACCTCATCATTAAATGGGATTCTACCTTCGTTCTGAGGTGTGCGATTACAGCTAGCGAGAATCATGGAACACCTTCCGACGGAAATCGTTCTTACTTTCATTTTCACATAATGAAAAAAAGGAATGAAGGATTTTTCAGGGTTTCACGTGCCAACAGCAACCCGAAACGATGAGTTACTACTGTTGCGCTGGAAAGGACAAAGAAGGAGTGAACGGTGCGTTTCTGATTTTTCTGAACCGTCGATTTGTAGCGCTAGTCATTCGACATCATATTAGACTCTAATAAAATAATTCACCAAAGAATTTTCTCACTCATTAGCCTTAAAAAATGGCGACAGGGGACCATCACCTGGAGAGCAAATCAAAACAAAAATGGAATAGGAAAGAGAAGGGGGCAACTGCAAAGTATAGCATTATGGGAAGAATCTGTTTCTATATACAAAGTTCCTGAAAGAATCGTTTCTTGCCGTTTTTACCGATAATACCAGCAATTCCGATCCAATACGAAGTATCAGTAAATGCAGATTTTCTAAAAAATATTTCAGACGGTTGTCCACCGGGACAGTACGCTTACATCACCAGTGGCCAGGTGAAAAGCTGCGATCCCTTCAACGTTGACGGTCAGTGAGTCGTTTTTCCCAGAAACACAGAATTATTGTATACGCATAGCCAAGCTTAGTGAGTCTGAGGATTCGCCCACAATACGTTCGATAGTTATTGATTAGTGTCACAAGTAAGAGCAAGAGAAGTTGTGGGCAATGTCTCACACAAATCGAGTTGCTAGCAGTGATAGATAGTTTAGCGCAATCAGTAGAATAGCTCTTCTCTGCAACGGCTTTCCAGCACTTTCCGGGTGACTCGTCTACTTTATGACGCCCAATGCAGCGTGGAGACCAGACGTCTTCCGCCATGGAGCGCTTTACTTCCAAGACAATGATAAGCCACCTGAGGCAGTGGCGCATGCACTAACAGCTGCTTGACAAAGACAAAATACGATTTTATATCTAATGACGTTTTCTTGATAATATGACTATGATTTTCAAGTACATAAAATCGTGAATTCTAAATTCTATAAACTAACTAAGCACAATCCGATGGGCGAGTACTGCGCCCGAGTGATGCACTGTCACCCACGTGGTCGGGGGTCGATTCCCGGCTGGATACTCGCCCAGGCCAACCAAGCCTTCCATCCCTCCGGGGTCGGTTAATTGGTACCAGATTCGTCTGGGAGAATAAAAGCACTGGCAGCTGGTCACCGTAAGCCATTGTATAGGCCACATTCCAATTCAGATGTCACTACGATTCCGATTGAAAGTCGAGTGTGAGGCTCATTCCAAAGTGGCACAGAACGTTGCCAAAAAATCTCCCCCTTAAGACCTCAACACAATAGAATTATCAGAACTTTAGCTATGAGCTGCCCATCGGAATACACCTGCCAGTGGTCAGTGACAAATCAGAAGTATCAATGCTGCGGAACACGTCCAATTCGCCAGACAAAACCGAACAAAATCGGTAAGTCTTACTATTCAAACATTGCGGTGCGGAGTTCATTTTTACTATCGAAGAAAAGATAGAAATTTCAACTTCGCCAGGGAGAGCTTTAACATGACCACTTATCGATAAATCGGTGGCTAGAGTAAGAACTTTTCGACATATTGATTGGACACCGTTGCAACGCCTCGCGTCCTGCGCGCGTCACCTCTGCTCTTACTCCACGAGATTTTACGAAACACAATTAAGCTTTCAGACGATGGTTGCTTACGTAAACAGTTCGCCTTACTTGACCGTCGGACGAGTAAGCCTCGAATATGTACGGCAGGAGAGGTAAGATACTTGGGAACATTGGAGGCCGTAAATCTGGTGGGCCAGAGTTACCACCCTGTCTCCTGAATCAACGTGGTATAATTTATGAGCCAATTTGTTTAGGAAAATTCCTGTCCCATAGGATTCTTCTGTCAGTTCTCGGCAAAACGAAGTCAATTCCAGTGCTGTGGTCAAAGTGGAGGTATTATTCTTCAATCACTTTTCGTTGACACAGTTTTTTTGATTGGGCATAGAGCAGTGCTTTATGGCACCTTTGCAGTGATACATATCTTTTTATTGAAACTTAGTCCATTCTGGGCAAGGCAGCGATAACTCGTCATCCTACCCCCGCAAGGTTATCTGCCATACCAGACCCGGCTTGAAAGGGTGGTTTCAATGGGATATATGTAGTGGAGGAGTTGTCTATAGCACTCGTACATCACCTCCAACAAGATTCGGTCAATCCTTGGCAAGATAACTCATCCTACTACCGCCCAAAGACAGACTAGGCCCGAACACTGACCCTTGGGATCAAGCACCGCTCAATATGAGCCTGTTTGACAGCATTTTATCGATGTGTAGGTCTTGTACGGTATACTCGTCCGGTATTCGAACCCGGGTCGTACGTGTGCTGTCAAAAATTTCTGCATTATCCCAGCTCCTATCCACTTAACCCTACATTCAGGTTGTCCCGAACGGCGAGCCGCCTATATAGCCGTTGACGGTAATGCGCAGGAATGCCTACCGGGGCCGGACATGTGTGCAGATGGTTTCGAATGTGTTCGAAGTGTTGACGGAAGTGGAAAGAATATCTGCTGCAGTAAAGAAGACAACGGTAAGAAGCTACTCACGTTTTTCAGTCGATCAGATACGATACTGGAACTTTTCTGTTCTTATGATCTTGTGCTATACCTTGCTGGGTTTTTACGTTCCTTGTAAATCGATCTCCAGTTTTCAAATTTCCTGGAAAGTAAATAAATAAACAAACAGAACCGGCCGCTCAGACTCATTTGTTGACCATTTCCCATTCTGTGTAATTTTGGTCTCATTCTTCGCTCTCTCCGTTTTTATCAACTCGCTTTCTTGGATTGCTTTTAAAGGCACAGTTCACGACCCTCCTATACCACGTCTGGTGCTACCATGTTGGAAAACGGCCTAGTTAGGGCGGCGTTATGATGGCTCAAAGATTGGCTCGTGTTTACCCTCGGACGTGTTTCACCGGCATTGCAGAGGCTGACCGTTCACAAGGGATTCCATGTAGGAAGTTCAAACAACTTGTTATGACCCATAGCGGCAGTGAAAGGCAGTTCTGTACTGTTCTGGCATGATGTACTCAGCTCTCTCTCTCAATTGCGACAGCCGAAATCTCGTCCGACTACGCCTTTCATGTCATTTACGCCATGGAAATCTTGTCCAACCTCCATTTTCCCCACTGGCAACGAACTATTCCCAAATATACTTCCGCTTTTCGGCTAAAAAAGGGTACCTCAAAATTATCGTGAACTGTCTCTTTAAATTTTCATAAAAAACACGCAATCACTGAAATTCCACTCGAAATTCTGGACTGGTCGAAGAAAAAATTTGATTTTGCCTGGTTTTCGCTCTAAGAAGGCTTTTCTGTATTGAGCCTCTCGAACCAGTCAAATTAATTGCCAAAAAATTGAAAACGCCGATAAAAATTTGTATATTCGTTGTAATTTCTACATTTTTGTTGTTTTTACAATATTCACAAGTACTCGATCACTCTTTGAAAGTCTATAAAAAACATTTTTCAAGAATGCTCGGAAAATGAGAAAATGATCAATGGGACATGTGTGGTGCACATGAGAATCGGTGGCCCCTGCCATCGAGATGAAGAATGCGGTGGTGGAAGCACATGTGAATCCAATATCTGCAGGTAATATCTCTATATCGATAAAAACGAATAAATTCTGGTGGGAAGTAAAGACTGTGAATGAGGTTCACCTACAACAGATGCCCATCGGGTCAAAATGCTGTGCTGGGCGAGTGCGTCTCCACAGAATGCAATCCAAATCAGGTACGGTAATGTTCGCTTACAATTGGACCGATTGGGATAGTTCTACTTTTTTTTCAGATCATTCTGGAAGGACGCTGCGTTGATCGTGCGGCTTCGGGAGAGTCATGTAAAAGTTCTTTTCAGGTAACCCTTATAACTAATTCTAAAGACCTATGGGACCAAGGATGGGCAAGCTAGAGAGCATTTATAAAAAGCAAAAATGAAGCGGATGGGTCCCAAGGTTTTAAAAAAATCTTTGGCAGATTCCTACTAAAACTCAGAGTCGCGTTCTTCTATCGTCTCAAACCCTCTTAGGGGAATGGTCACATGCGCGCAAAATCGATACCTATTCTAAACTGCAGCCATTATTTGAGATAAGAAGCTGAAAACAGCTCGTAGTGACTTCAACAACTATTTTAGTGCATATCAAATTTACGATGTCTCAACAACAAGTGTGATTGCGGTAAAGGAGAAAGAATCGACGGCAACAACTGCGTGAAAATCGATGAAGGTAGCGACTTTTCGGGAATAGATATCCCCTAGTCTCAATGGTGATTCATTACAGAAACGCCCAAGTCACGACCGTCCAGTCCATCTTCATCGGTCGAGATGTGCCCGAAATCAGATGAACGGGCGTTTTTCGAGAAAGGAACCACTCGATTACGTTACTGTAGTCAAATCGCTGACGATTGCCCAACTGGGTACAGCTGTCAATACAGTAATCTGGTGGGTGTGACATTTATCCAGGAAGCCGGTCGGTAGAGATGTGAAATGAAAATTTCAAAGTTGACTTGCTTGAGGCGCGATCTCTCGTGATGGGGAGAGGTAGACCACTTTCCCTTTGGTATTCAGGTCCCCAGTCTACTCCGTCTACGTCTTGACCTTCAGATAGCGCAGCCCAATCAGTCCACAATCTTTCAGATTTCAAAAACATGTCTTTGGAAAAAGGATAGACATACATATTGGGGAAAGAAATAAAAATAATAGAATAAAGAATAAAAATAGCAAAATTTCCAAATAATTTCCTGGACAACCCGTAAAAGTGCAAAGCATTGTCACTGTTCACTTTTCAACCGACCGTCTGTATATTTTGTTAGACAGACGTAAGCATGACGCATACCTTCGGGCACTGGTTTGAAACTATTGTTCACCCACCTTCTACATATAACTTCTGAGAAATCGTTTTCAGATCAAACAGAACATATGCTGTGGTGAAGGCGATGACATAACCAGTAAAGAGGCGAAGCCAAAACCTGAACGACCACGTGGAACAGGATCATCGAAGAATGGCAAGTTTTCAACTCAATTAGATGGTCCTCTGGGTGACGTTTTTGTTTGACTTTCATCGTTTTGGGAGGATTCCACTTTATGTCCGGGTGATATACCACACCTAACCGATGATTAAGACGTAACATCACTGACAGATCTTGAAGTGTAATGCGTGGAGCATTTTCTAAGTAGAGTAATATGAAGTTCCCTAACAACTTGCTCAGGAAGACTTGAAGTTCGAAATTATACGCCCTGATTATTTGTATTTGTATTTATTAACATGCGCGAGCACGAGCACGATTATGTCGATAACTATTCAAATTAAACCGAATATTTATTTTAACATTCAAACGCGTGATGAGGGAATGAATACCCGGATGTCTCTTTTCACCAGCCTTAACCCAATGCTTGCTAATTCCAGCTCACTGTCCTTCTGGCATGACTCCCTATCTCCTGAATGGCCAACCAAAATTATGCTCGTCCAGCACCTGCCCGTATGGATTCCAATGCCGATTTTCTCCGTCCAAAAAGAATTATTTCTGCTGTTCAAAAATTCTAAAGAAATCTAATCATCTTCGAAAAGGTTTGTATCCTAAAAAACAGCTCCATTATCTTAATTGGTCATAATCTGGATTATCAACTTAACATGATTTATTACCATTATTGTTCATTGCAACTGTTCGGACCTAATGCATTGTATGTCATGACGATGTACTATATCACTACCACAATGCACTGAATAAGCATGCGAGTGACACTAAGCACTTGCAGCAAATACTACCGTGGTAGTTCGATAAGCCAAACTGTGGCGTACTACGAAAATGTAGACAACCCTCTAGAATTTTCGACTGAATGAATACTTCGAACCTAATAAATAAGCTAACTTTCAGATGGTGGGTGTGAACGTGGCTCAGTTCTGTTGTATCCATCAACACAAGAGCCTGTACAATGTGACCAGAAGACGCGAGCATGTCCTAGTGGCTACCTATGTTTGCCGCATACCACAACAAAGGTGAGACCATTTCTTTTGGGACCCCTAAAACCCTGAAAGTAGTTCTGATCTTGAGGGCTCCTGTGCGCAGTGCTAGAAAGGCTATGTGATTACGGCGCATTACGTAGAACAGATTCATCCCCGCGACGTTGGGCTATAGGAGCTCAAAGAACGGATGGAAAATCTTACGCGCGTACGATCAATACTCGTTCCAAAAACGTGTGTGGGAACGTTCATCGAAAGAAGTTTTCATCAAACATGTTTTTAGATCCTTCAATGTTGTTCTGTGGATACGTCTCGAGATATTGCCTACTCATCAGCTAGTGAGAGTAAGTTAAAGGAGTTTCTAGACACTCAAATTGACTTGTGGTAATTCTGACAATTTCAGTTGAGTGTCCAAAATATATGGTACGAGTCGTGGGGAACAGAAATGGGCGCAGAGCGACATATTGCGGTAAGGACTTAAAAATGAGACCGCATTTTCTAAATTCTTCTTTTTGTGTTCTTAATGGGCACACCCTTGAGGTGTATTTGAATAACTGAATAAACAAATAGATAAATAAGTAAATAAAAAAGCTGATTTATTCTTGACCAAGTTCTGCGGAAACTTTTTATGCCCATTCACTAAAGAATCTTCTTGATTTTTGTTCGGGTGCACTTAATAACTGCTAGTTCCTGGGGACGTGGCTAGACATGCATCTGAAGAGAGACAATTAGAGCAGCAAAAATTCAGAGGTCAGACACGGACCCCCTAGCTGCACGTTGAAATGCATTCGGATGAAAAGAATCCGACGGCTGAGTGATCTCAGACAACTTCTGGCAGCCTGAGTGGCGCACTACCCAAAGACGGTCTAGGGATCGACTAGGATCTTGGTGCCCTTCCAGGCCACTGAGTAGATTAGGTCCCTATGAAATCAATCAAATAATACCAGATAAAAACATAGGCTTCTACATTGGTCACCGCGAGTAATTTTGTAGGCCACATACACATTCAAACGTTTTTGCGATTCTGACTGAATATCGGAGGTAGGGAAGCATTCTGAAGTGCGAATGACCACCGTTTATTTACCACTCACTGTTTAGTTTTTGTCCTTCAGCCTTTCGAATTTCAGCTCGTTCTTGCCCTTTCGGTCAGTCTGCTCAAAACGGTATTTGTCAATGAGACGAGAACCCTTCTGCGATTCTCATTTCTACTGAGGACAGCCACTTCACTGGCTATTCGTTCTGCCAAGTTTTGTAATCCATTCATTGTTTTACTTATTTGAGTGATGTTTGTAAGTCGTTCTCGTCGACTGGTAATCCTTGTAGATACTATTGTATCCTACTGTTACTTTTATTTATTTTATTTGTGTTTGCGTAACCTCGGAGTGTTACTAATAACGTTGAAGAACATATTTATATAAACATTGGAAATTCCGATTTAATAAATGAATATTAAATGAATTTCATTTCTATCGTTTCAATCGACCTTTACCACTGTTGCTAAGTATCGTCCAATTGACTTCACAACCCTAGAAGCCTATTAAGTGAAACGAGGTTGGGACGGTGGCGAAAACGCAGCGAACTTCATGAACTCTAAGCTGTAGAACTCAGCTGTGAAGTATCCAGATAGAGGTAATACCTTCCGCTTCTTTGAACTCTACTGACCAATTGTCCCCTACGTTTTCTTTCTGTTTGACTGTTTAATAGTCGAAAAGAAATTTTGGAAAGTCGTATAGTTAGTAAGCTAAAGAGTAAATTAAGACAAATTGAATAGTATCTATTAAACTCGATCTCCATAAAGGCTACTGTTAAACAAAAAGTATCCAGAGCAAATGTATGGCCCATGGTGCTCCGCTCACTGACTGCCAATCCCTTAGCAAGATTATGAAAGGCAACTTCACTCCTCTAAAATGAGCCTGCGGTCGAACGAGGATGAACAGGGTCAGAAACGAATGCGCCAGGACAGTTACGCAAACAGCCCAGTACAGTTTGATATGAGAGAGCAGCGCTTGGAATGGCACAGACATGAGCTATAAGAGGTACGGACGTGATCGATAAGAAGCACTCCGAAATCAAGTGTATGGCAAAAGATACTGTAGAAAAAAACAAATGGAGACGACTGTTGCGAATAAGAACTTTTCCTTCGCTTTCAGTTTTGGCCGCCTGCTACCGGAAGACTAGCCTGAGGTGAAGAAGCGAAGGAATTTCCGAAATCACAAGGGAAGGATCCCAAGTCGAAGTGGCCATTTGAAATGGGACCT